TCAGCCGGTAGGTGCCGCTGTGTGTTCTTTTTAACCCTCCTTCACTCCTCCCTCCTCCCTCCCAGCATGCAGTTCAGGTCGGGATGGGTGTGCTCAGAACAATTATTATTTTAAAATGGGGGAGACAAATAATCCCTTAATTTTCTACCCCCTCTTAATTCTTCTGCCTCCTCCCCTCCCCCTCCCATTTATTAGACATCTAAAAGAAGGGCCAGCTTTGCAAAAGATTGTGTGTTCCCAACTGCGTTGAGCTGTGAAGAATCCAGTGCCCCAGGTTGGCTGTCTGAGATACACAAGTAAGAGAAATAATGGTTATGTATAAAAAAAAAACCAAAACGCATAACTTTTTCTTGCCAAGCCAGAGGCCCCTAGGAAATGGCCTGAAGGCAACTTGTCCTGTCACACCTGCATAATGCCTTCTCTTTGCATGTAGGGTGGGAGTCAGATACCTCCTACCATTTCCCACAGTGGAGATGGATCGTTTTCTCACTGAAGGAAGAGAATATGCAAACAGGATGTCTGTAGGAGGAACCTGAGGAACTGGGATTAGAAACGGAGGCAGTCTAGGCTGTATGCATTTATATTGCCTTTTCCAGGACAAAGGATTTCATTTAATCCATCTCTTCCATTTTCTGTTGCTCTTTTGCTCTTTAGGTTTCATTAAAGCCTTCTCTGCATGAGCGCGACTTTTATAAGACGTATTTACGATTTCTATTTTGGTGGCTCATTCACCCAGAGCATCTGGAGCTCTGCACCGTGGAGCCTAGCAACCTCCACGAGACCGTCTATGTTGTCTGTCTGTAACTGCAACTCAATCAAGTTTTCCAGCCTACACCACTGCCATCTCGGTGTAAGTAAACAATCTTTAAACTACCGCTACGCGTTTGTGCCTAATTCCAGCTCGACGGCCTTCCCTCTCCGACCCGGCGTGCCCGGGCTGCTGGCCACATCCCGCGTGCAGTGCGGAAAAGGGCTCGGGTCACTCCCGGCCCACACACCTGTCAGGAAGACTGTCATTCAAGAGCCCCCAGCAGTAACAATAACATACATGCTCCAGAAACATAAGTACGAACCTCGCCACAATCCTGGAGGACTCCTAGGTGCAGCCGTGTGCACCACGAATGAGAGCCAGTGGTGATGCACAGAATCTTGAAACACTTACCTACTGCCTATCTGCAGCTATTTCAGGGAAACAACGGATTCCATGAACCAGATGTTCTAGGGCTCTGCAGCCAAAGCAGGGTCCAGGATTCCAGAAGAGCTCACCTAGGGCATGTGCAGATGAAACAATATTTCCAGCTTATGTTGACGCAACTGCGTTTGTGTTTGCACGACCTGGGATTTCCTGCTGCTCTAAAGTCCATTTAGCGCCTTAAATTGACACTACTCAGAGATGTGTTAATTTGGAGCGCTCTCCATTTACGCTGCTCCAACTGTGGATTTGTTCATGCAAACAGCCAGAAACTCCAAAGACTTCTAATTAATCCCCTTCGCCACGAGGGGGGCGCTGTGTTCTGGCCTTCAGCCGGTAGGTGCCGCTGTGTGTTCTTTTTAACCCTCCTTCACTCCTCCCTCCTCCCTCCCAGCATGCAGTTCAGGTCGGGATGGGTGTGCTCAGAACAATTATTATTTTAAAATGGGGGAGACAAATAATCCCTTAATTTTCTACCCCCTCTTAATTCTTCTGCCTCCTCCCCTCCCCCTCCCATTTATTAGACATCTAAAAGAAGGGCCAGCTTTGCAAAAGATTGTGTGTTCCCAACTGCGTTGAGCTGTGAAGAATCCAGTGCCCCAGGTTGGCTGTCTGAGATACACAAGTAAGAGAAATAATGGTTATGTATAAAAAAAAAACCAAAACGCATAACTTTTTCTTGCCAAGCCAGAGGCCCCTAGGAAATGGCCTGAAGGCAACTTGTCCTGTCACACCTGCATAATGCCTTCTCTTTGCATGTAGGGTGGGAGTCAGATACCTCCTACCATTTCCCACAGTGGAGATGGATCGTTTTCTCACTGAAGGAAGAGAATATGCAAACAGGATGTCTGTAGGAGGAACCTGAGGAACTGGGATTAGAAACGGAGGCAGTCTAGGCTGTATGCATTTATATTGCCTTTTCCAGGACAAAGGATTTCATTTAATCCATCTCTTCCATTTTCTGTTGCTCTTTTGCTCTTTAGGTTTCATTAAAGCCTTCTCTGCAGCAGTCTCACACTTGGAATTTACAAGTTGAGAACAATTTCTTATTTAAAAAAAAAAAAAAAAACAAGTAAGAGGTGAATGATTTATGCTTCCCTGCCACATGCATTATACATTACGAGGCTCAGGAGCTGGGGAGAAAAAAAATACATGTCAAGAAACCATCTGGTAAATGACTGCTTCCCAGTCTGGCAGCCTCAGGGGAAGCTGTGCTCAGGTAGGGAAGCTGTCAACAGGCTGAATGAGATGAGAGCAGGCAACAAAAAATCCCCCAAATCTGAGGGAAATGAAACCACAAGGAAGAAAATTAGGTTAAGTGTGAAGACATTCAAAAAAAGGAAATCTATGAGGTAGAGAAGGGATGAGAGCCCGTCACGTGCCTTTGAAAGGGGTAAATGAGCTCTGATGGATGCAATTCTGGTCCCACTGCAGACCAAAGAGGCCTGGTTTCATAAATCGCTCAGCACCTGACCACTCCCAGGAAGCCACTAAGTGTAGCAAGTGCTCAGCACCTCAGAGAAAGCAGGCCCGTGGAGTCTGGTCATCAGCTTATATTTGGCTGACCAAGGAAACTTCAGCATATGGAAACATACCATATGGCATCCCACCACTCATGCCTACCTTCTCCCTGAGTGGTTTTGCAGCCTTCTTGTATGGCTGCAAGATGTCCATCTACTCTCACACTGCCAGCAGCAACAACCTATCTTGCAAGAAAGCTACGTATCTGTACAACCCCAGGAAGCTCCACACAACTCGCCTGGCTAAGCAGCAGCTAGTACATGGCTCATGTCTTGTGCGGTAATAACCTGATCTGCTCTCCTGGAAAAGCTGGCTCCTCTAAAAGGTAGACATCAGCATCTTCATAGAGTCATAGAAGATTCGGGTTGGAAGGGACCTCAGGAGGTCATCTAGTCCAAACCCCTGCTCAAAGCAGGACCAGCCCCAAGTAGATCATCCCAGCCTAGGCTTTGTCTGGCCGGGTCTTAAAAATCTCCAAGGATGGAGAGTCCACCACCTCTCTGGGTAGCCTGTTCTATCAGTGCCTTACTATCCCCTAGTGAGAAAGTTCTTCCTAATATCTAACCTAAACTTCCCTTGCTGTGACTTGAGCCCATTGCTCCTTATTCTGTCATCTGCCCCCACTGAGAACAACCCAGCTTCATCTTCTTTGGACCCTCCCTTCAGGTAGTTGAAGGCTGCTGTTAAATCCCCTCTCCTTTCCAGACTCAATAAGCCCAGTTCCCTCAGCCTCTCCTCACAAGGGTCCAGAGGAGGGCCACTCGCATGATCAGGGGGCAGCAGGGCAGGCCCTACGAGGAGAGGCTACAGGACCTGAACCTGTTCAGCCTCCACAAGAGAAGGCTGAGAGGGGACCTGGTGGCCATCTATAAACTTACCAGGGGGGACCAGCGGGGAATGGGAGAGGCCCTGTTCCCCCGAGCACTAGGAATAGGAATAACGGCATTAACTAGGAATAACAGCCACAAGTTGATTGAGAGTAGGTTCAGGCTAGATATCAGGAAGCACTACTTCACTGTCAGGGCGGCTAGGATCTGGAACCAACTTCCAAGGAAAGTGGTGCTCGATCCTACCCTGGGGGTCTTCAAAAGGAGGCTAGATAATCACCTTGCCAGGGTCATTTTCTTTCCTGCCATGGCAGGGGGTCGGACTTGATGATCTGCTCAGGTCCCTTCTGACCCTACCAACTATGAAACTATGAAGTCATGTGCCCCAGCCCCTGAATCAGTTCCACTGCCCTCCACTGGACTCTCTTCAATTTGTCTACATTCTTTCTGTAGTGGAGAGCCCAAAACTGGGCACAGTACTCCAGATGTGGCCTCACCAGTGCCAGATAGAGGGAAATAATGACTTCCCTCAATATTCTGGCAATGTTCCTACTAATGCAGCCTAGGATGCTGTTAGCCTTCTTTGCAACGAGGGCACACTGCTGGCTCATATTCAGCTTCTTGTCCATTGTAACCCCCAGGTCCACAGAAGGAAGTGAGGAGTGCCTCTGTGTAAGTGTCTCTGGGATCCAGTTACCTGAGAGATGAAAGTAGCTACCCTTTATATAGTACCTTGCATCATGAAGGAAGCCAAAATGCTTCTCAACACAGTAACCAGTTCATCATGCCTGTTTAAGAAAGGACAGCAACACAGTTGTTAAAGACGTAAAATGAAAATGAGTGATACATCTTATTGGGGAATTTAAGCAGGTTGAACTCATGTGGATTATTCATCAGAACGCTTGGACTAATCTCATCTGGGCAACCTTCCAAAAAATACTGGAATAAAAATAGTTGATAGCCCAAGCCCACGCAACAGCAGTACTATTGTGGGGGCTTGGCTCATCATAGCCTGGAAGGCTATCCTGCAATGCTCTCCTAAGAGCAGAGCTCCATGGTGCTCTGCAAATGCAGAAGCCTTGTGGAGAGGTCACCCCCCCGCCATTTCCAGGAGTGATATTATATTCAAATCATACTGGCTTCATTGCATCACGATCCCTTCACAGTGGTGGAAAAGGGGGCTAGATTTGACACTTACCAGTAAATTAGGAGAACAAGTTAAATTAAAGGTGAGGTTTTTTATGGCTGATAGCCATACTATCAGCAAGTGTTGTGCATATAAGGAAAGAGACTTCACAACACCCTTTTGTGGGACAGGATGGGAGCTACAAGGAAGTTTTCTTTGCAACATGGATCCTTTCTCTTGCAAGAAGCTCAGGACGACAATAAAGACCAAATTCTGTTAATGGCAGTCGTGTTTTCCACTAGTGGAATCTGCACAGACACACCTAATAGCAAAACAAACAAGTCAACTTTATTTTGTAAAAAGGAAACATTGACAAATAGTTGAGGGTGCTGAGGCAGAGTGTGTAAGCCAGGAAGGGTCTGCCCAATGCAACACTTCTTTCCGGTCTATCAACATGAAGTTACTGTCCAGTCCCCACTAAGTTCTCCTCTGATTCTGAGCACACCACAACTTTTTTGTGAGGAGCGAGGCTATTTCCTTGTCCTAAGTCCATCATCTTCAAGTATTCTGTGCTCTGATCTGCCCGTCTAAGACCAGCTTTGGCACCCAAGGGTTTCACACTTTACTTTGGCAGATAGTATCTCCATCATCCTCGTCATCATCCTCCACAACATTGATGGGAACATAGCCACCTTCTCTGGGCAAGCACCAACACCAGCCAGCACCAGTCAGGTCCACTGCGTTGAAGCTGAAGTCTCTCACCTCAAGCCTCTTGAAGTCGACTGTGTCTTCCTTGGAGTAAATCTCGTTAAGCTTTTGCCAATACAACCAAGTCATAACCAGGCCAATTACCTGCAAGACACATGCATTGAAAGTGATTAGGCTGAGTTATGCTAACTCCTTATACAGCCCCTTAAGCATAAGGTACTTTCATGTCAACCGCTGACCCATCTTTTTGACTTGGATACAGGTTTCCTAAACATGGCAGTGCTCTAAACTAAATCAAGGTCTTAAGTTAGGCAGGCAAACCAGAACTTGGATAAGTGACCGTTAGAGAAAAGTCAAGGTGCTGCAGGAAGAGAGGTAGCAGCACACTTCATTTTGGTGCTAGAGGTTTAGTCTTTTTTAGATGTGTCCTAAAACAGAAATTCAGGGCCCTTGGGGCCAGTAAAATCATCTCCCCAGCAATTTTTTGCTCAAGTTGTCAGTCTCAATCACCAGGGTCATTCCATCTGGCCTCTCTAGACTTCCCACGGAGCTTCAGGTGAAGGAACTGATTTTAAAGCTTGGCCTGTGAAGTGGCTTGTGCTCAGTGGCTGCTGTGTGTGGTGCTACGTTCAACTTCCCCTGTCTTGTGGGTAGGTAGGTGTATCCAAGCCTAATAACCCACCCAATGAGGACAAAGGGTCAAGGCATGCCATGTTCTATAGCCAGTGACACACAAGGGAGTGAGGCCCATATCACATCCAGATGCTTTTGGCTCCTCATGCTAAAGGAGCAAGTGCCCATTTACAGATAACTGGGGATAACCTTTGGCTGAAGCCTAAAGCAAGGCCTGAACTCCCACCTCTGGAACTATAATGTGCATTGTCCTTTTACACGCATAGCATCTAAGGGCACCTATGTATGTGCAGCGATGCACTCCAGCAGACTCCAGTGTCATGTGCATCAGTGTTCCCACACTAAAAAATGGTGGTGGGGGCTATTTAACTAAAGCTCATTCAACAAGCTTTAGTTAAAGTGCCCTCGCCGCCATTTTTCAGCGTGGGGACACTGATACACATGACGTTACGGGTGCTTTAATTAGAGTGGCTCTTGGAGCCACTCTAATAAAAGCATGCACCCCCCCCCCCCCCCCCCCCCCCCCCTGTCGCGTGTGTTTTAGTTATAGTGTCTCTTGGAGCCACTCTAATAAAAGCATGCACGCCCCCCTCCCCTCCCCTCCCCCACCCCCCCAATTCCCAGACCACGTGTATAAATGCCCCAAGAGCACTTTGGGGTCCTTTGGGAGAAAAATTATGTCTGTGCCTGACGATGCACCCACAGGCAAGAATTACACTTGAGGTGTGATAAGCATCTTTTTTTTTACTATTTCCAGTTTCTCCTTCAATAGGTCCAAGAGCAAATTCTCCTTACCTACTGCTTGGCTTACATGACGTGCATGTGCTGTAAAGCCGAGAACTGCAGTGACTCTATGGCGAGGAGGGGACAGTTATTTACAGAGGTCAGCCGTGTTTGCATAGATCCAAGGGAGAAAATCTACCATGGCCAAGGTAGCTGTAGCACTCTGAATATAAGACTCTAAGCTGGTTCCAGTGACCTGCAGCCTATTCTGTTGTCTATAATGATGTGCGTTGGCTTTTTATTTATTTTTGCAGAGTTTATCCATCTGAACAAAACCATCAGGGCAACAAAAACCTACGAAGCATTATTTGCACAGATGTACTGCTATTGTCCACTTGATTGAATAAATTCATCCCGTGTGCTCAGGGTCTGAGCTCCTGCCTTCAGCAAAGGCCAAAACAGATGCTACTTTGGAAAGGTGAAAGGCCAGCATTAGTGCATCTAGCCAGTCACCTAGCACAACGTACAGGAAAACAAGTCTCTCCTGTACCTGAGGTGTATTGTCATACGATCTGAAGAATGAGGGGTGACTCACTGGGCTATCAGCCATCTATGAATATACATGGGAAAGAGAAGCTCCCAAGTGCTGACATGATCCCACAGTATAACCTGGGCCAAGGCATTTCTCTGTTGCCTGCCTTAGTTTGCCCATCTGTACAGTGGGGGCTGACAGGAGTGTTGGCAAATATGTATGGTCACTGCTTGAACAGAGCTGTTAGATCCCTAGGTGAGTGCAAACCTTTGAATCGGGAGCACTGAGGAGTGATGTTCTCCACTGACTGATTACACAGCACCAGTGGTAGAAGCAGACGCTTCCTTTGCTGCACCCTGTCACTTTTTATCAGGTCTGTCTCTAGAGGACTTAACAAAGGAGGAACTGAATTGCTTGCCAGACTAAATCCCTCACCCAAGGTCATATGGCAAGTCTGTGGTGGGTTAGGGGCTTGACCTCTGGTTTTCCAAGCCACAGGTTGTCTTAGGACAATCCTTCCCCTGTCAAGCTTCAGCTCGGCTTCTCTAATAACAGCAGCCCACAATGAAGAAAGAATGGAGAACCACACAAAAAAGCTCCCACTAAATCCTCAGCTAAAGTAACGACTTCTTGTCTATCAAACCCATAAATGCTTGGCATTGCCTCATTCATTCCAGCTGATCATTCAGGCCATTCAGACCACAGGGGAGGCCTGGCATCACCTTATATGAGAGCTGCAGAGCACATTATGATAAGAGTGGCACGTTACTGGGGTTTTTTGCTATAAATTTGATCATGCCCAAGGGA